GGAGCAAGGGAGAATGAAGAGAACAAGATACAAGGAAAAGATCAGTCCAAAGGACTAACGGACCACAGCTACCAAGGCCTCCACCAGACTGAGTCCAGTACAGCTAGATGGTGCCTAGCTACCACCACTGACTGCTCTGACTGGGATCACAACAGAGGGTTCTGGACAGAGCTGGAATAGAATGTAGAACAAAATTCTAACAAAAAAAGGCCAGATTGGAGACTTCCGGCAAATTGCGCTCTAGACAGAAGCACCATGCTGTCCCTCCACAGCAAAGACCCGAAAAACTAAGCCAAACAGAGAAAACAGCAATCCTGAAACCCTAAAACATCAACTGAAGAGATAAAGAACTCAGCCAAGCACCAAATGGAGTGAGAAGACTGATAGAGAACTGAGAGGAAAGATTCATGCAGAGGTCCCCTACCAGCTAACACAGCACCGATCTGCCATCTTGGACTCCTATCAGAGACCAGCAAATAGCAGGTATGAGAAAGCAGCTTCACGGAGCTTGCAGCAGGAGACAAAACAACCGTGACTTCCGGCATCATGGCGCTCTAGGCAGAAGCACCACGCCGTCCCTCCACAGCAAAGATCCGAAAAACTAAGCCCAACAAAGAAAAAGCAATCCTGAAACCCTAAAACATCAAATGAAGAGATAAAGAACTCAGCCAGACACCAAACGGAGTGAAAAACTGACAGAGAACGGAGAGCGAGGAGAGGTTCATGCAGAGGTCCCCTATCAGCTAACACAGCGTGGATCCGCCATCTTCAACTCCTATCAAAGACCAGCAAGTGGGGGGTACGAGAAAGCAGCTTCACGGAGCTTCCAGCAGGAGACAGAACAACCGGTAATTGGCGATATACGCTTTCCCACCCCCCACCCTTCTTCACCCCCACTCGGCCTCTTCTGCTTCCTGCGGCCACAGTCTCTCGGCCAGGAAGTACCGGCTGCTTGAATTCCACCCGCCTGCACTGGCAGACTCCCTGAGTGCCATTTGTTGGCTGCTGGTGTTGCTTTTTTCAGCTTCTTTTGATTTCTTCCTTGCCTCTCACAACGTCCCCCTCCTTTTGTTCAAATACCTGGCTCCGTGTGCCATCTTTGCTTCTTCCTGGGGGGCTGTGGAGCTCTGTTCGAGCGTGGGACTGCTTCCTGGTCTGGGCTGCCGCGCTGGTGGGATCCCAGGGCTTTTGTTTGTTGGTTGGTTTTAAATTGTTTGTTTTCTTTTCCTTTTCTCCAGTTGGGAGCCCATTCTGGCCAGGTGGTGCTGTGCGGCTAGGGACCTACCCTCTCCACTTGTGAAAAGCTCAGAGGAATCCCTGTGGGCATTTCTTTTTTCATGGTTTTCTTTTCTGTTTTTTGGGGGGCTTTTCTTGTTCTTTTTTTTTTTTTTAATTTGTTTTGTTT